TCCCCTAAATCTTTAACCCCTATACCTTTACCTGGTGTAGCCAGAATAATCTTCTTGAAACAAACTTCTTATGTTGTCATCTCCCCACTTAGAAGCGCCATTTTCTAAAAACAAAGACCAGTGCATATGAATCTTTATGCATGACGAAATGTATATGTGTATGCATATGTGTGTGTGTATTTCTTTGAATTCATTTAAAGTATTTTTATTAGAACAAGTTGACCTTTTCTGATCAATACTTTCTAATACTTACAGCGTATAAATATGCATACATGTACGTATACATAAGTGCACCATAAAACATGTAAATCCTTGTTCTGATATTCAAGGTGTGCCACTGCCTGGTCCTATTTATCTTTCCAACCCTGCTATCATCACAACATTCCCTTTCATATCTTCAAATCCTCAGTCAAATTCACTTAATCTTTGTTCCCAGACTGATGCATATTAATGGAAAACGTTTAGGCTTTGAATGACACAGACTTGGATTTACACAATTTACCATCTATTATAATGAACTCTTTTAAGGAAACCATTCGCTGTCTCTGAACTTTTGTCTCCTCATTAGTAAATAAGAACAACGATACACTTCTCATGGGTAGTTTTGAAGACCGAAAGAAATAAAGTATTTAGAATGGGCTCATACTACTCATGTTAGTCCTTTCTCTCCCCACTTTATGTATAATGAAAAAATGTAGACACAAACTAGATATCAATAATCGATATTGGACTCACAGCCGAACCAGGAGGTATCCCTCTTTGTAGTGAAGGACACCTTCCACGTTACCACACTGCACTGATGCCATGATGCACACATGTTCCTAGAATCCCCAGGCACTATAATGAAGGAATGAAACAGCAGCGAAGTACATAAATCAGCAAAATTAAAACAGGGATGTGTGTTGATAGACTAAAGAAATAAAAATCACCTCATATGTGTGCATATTCACACAAAAAACATATATGTCTGTGTGTACAATATGTAAGTATATACACACGTGTGTGCATATAAAAACATACCTGCTATGATCTGAATGTGTTCCCCAAGAAGCATGCGTTGGAAAATCAATCCCAACGCAACAACAGTGTTGAGAGGTGGTGCCTAATGGGAGGAGGCTTTAGGTTATGAGAGCTGCATTATCATCAATGAATTGATGCCAATTATAAAAGGGCGTGAGGCTGTGAGTTAAATCTCTTGCTCTCTTGTATGTGTAGTTTTCTGCCCTTCCACCACGGAAAGCAGCAAGAAGGCCCTGACCAGATGTGGGCCCCTTGACCTTGGACTTCTCAGCCTCCAGAACTGTGAGAAATAAATGTCTGATCTTTATAAATTACCTCTTTTCAGGTATTCCGCTATAGCAGCACAAAACAGAATAAGACAGCTAATTGGTACTGAGAAGTGGGGCTGTTGCTATACCAAATAACTGAAGATGCAAAACGGGCTTTGGAACTGGGTATTGAGTAGAGACTGAACAAATCTGGAGGAACCAGGTATAAAAAGCCTAGATTGCCATAAAGGTGACTTTTTTTTTTTTTTTTTCCGCACTCTACACAATATACTGAAAGTTAACGTCAAGGTGAACGTCAAGACACTTTGGAACAGGAAAAACACCTGATTTCTGTGTGGCACGGCATACACGTCATCACTGCCACCTCCCTCTTCTTTCTGGGCACTGACATCCCCGAAAGCTCGCAGCTGGATGACAGCTGAGATTCAACGTCCTCTTCTTCCCCATAGCCCAGTGCTTCAAAGGACGGCAGAGAACTTCTTCTTCCCACCTCACTCTGCCCATTTAGTCGAAGTCTCAGCTCTGAGGAGGTGGCATAGGGCTCGATGGAGCTGTCCTTTTCCACGGATGTCGTGTCGCTCTCAGACCGAGATCGCTGGCGAGGCTGAGGAATGGCAACGGTCCGGCCAGTTAACGTCGTCACCAGAATGGCTGCAGCCAGAGCAGATGTTGGTCTCTCTGGAGACGGGTTGGGGCTGCTGGGAGGAGGCGTGTGGGGCACAGCTGGCTTCAGAACAATGCTGGCTGCAGGGAGAAGGCCGTGGACGATGTGAGGACTCAAAAGAAGGCAAGAGCTGTAGGGAGAGGCTAAATCTTCTTGGGAATTACTTAAGTGGCCATGATCAGATGCTGGTAGAAATATGGACAGTAAAGTCCACACTGCTGAGGTCTTAGACAGAAATGAAGAACAAGGTGTTGGAAACTGGAGTAAAGGCTATTCTTACATAGTTGCAAAGAACTTGGCAGAATCCCTGCCCTAGGACTTAGTGGAAGGACGAACTTAAGAGCAATGACCTAGGATAGCTAGCAGAAGAAATATTTAAGTAGCAAAGTGTTCAAGGTGCTGCTGGCTTCTTTGGCCCCTTACAGTGGCTGAGGGACCTCGACATTCACTGCCCTGTGCTTCAGGACTATTCCCTGAATTCTGGTCCAGTGCCCTTCAGCCACCTCAGTCATGGCTCAAGTGGACCCAGGTAAGGTTCCACCCACCACTTTGATAGGTACAAGCTGTAAACCTTGGCAGTGTCCACATGGTGTTAATTCTGCAGATGTGTAGAATGCAAGAGCTGTGGGGCCACAGTGGCCCCCACCTAGATTTCAAAGAATGTCACAGACTCTGGCATAGACTTGTGGCTCTGGCAGAGACTTATCTCAGAAGCAGAGACACCACAGAGAGCCCCCTTAAGGCAATGCCTAGTGGAGCCATGGGAGTCAAGTGGCCCCTAATATACCAGAGCTATAGAGCCACCAAGGTGCAACTCCAGCCTGGGAAAGCTGTGGGCTCGAGACTCCAACTTGTGAGCACTGCTGGGTGGACTGAGCTCAGCAAGGCCACAGGGGTGGGGCTGCCTGACGCCGCGGGGATCCAGCCCTTGTCCCTGTGAGCTGATAAGGCAGAACATGGAGTCAAAAATGATTATTCTCCAGCTTTAAGATGCGATGTTGTTCATTCTGTTGGATTTTGGACTTACGTGGGACCAGTTACCCCTCTTTTCATTCCCTTTTCTCCCTTTTGGAATGGGAATGTCTATTCTAAGCCTGCCCCACCACTGTATTTGAAAGGACATAGCTTGTTTGGGTTTCACAGGTTCATAGTTGCAGGGAATTGCCTTAGGATGAGTTGTGCCTTGAGTCTCACCCATATGTGAGATAGATAAGATTCTGAACTTTGGACTTTTGAGTTGGTGCTAGAATAAGCTAAGATTTTGGGGCTATTGGGATGGAAGTAATATATTTTGCTTGTGAGAAGGACATGAATTTGGTGTTGAATGCTATGATTCAACACGTCAAGTGTTGAATGCTATGGTTTAAATATGTCCCCCAAAAGCACATGTTAAAAACTTAATCCCCAATGCAACAATGTTGGGAGGTGGGGCCTAATGAGAAGTATTTAGGTTATGACTCCTAAACACTTCATGAATAGATTAATGCTGATTTTAAAAGTATTTGAAGCTCTGATTTTGATCTCTTGCTCTCTCTAGAATGTGCTCTTTTGCCCTTTCACCATGGGATGATGCAGCAAGGAAGTCCTTGCCAGATGCAGGCTCCTTGACCTTAGACTTCCCAGCCTCCAGAGCTGTGAGAATTAAATGTCTGTTCTTTATAAATTGCCCCATCTAAGGTGTTTCATTGTAGCAGCACAAAGCAGACTAAGACAGTGACCAAATGTAAAAGATTGGTGGTCTGGGCTGCGTGAATACTTCTCAAAGTCTTCCTTGGCAAGAATTCTGTAGAGATTAGTTTGATTATTAGAAATTATGATATGCCTAATTGATATATTGAAAGCAAAATGGTGCAGTAGACAATGCTTCCCCAAAGTATTTTACCATCTATTCATATATGTAAGTATGTATGTGGATGACCTCCATCCCACAATGAGTATGAATAGACCCTCCCACAACAAAAATGACCACAGTGTATAAAAAGGTCATTTAGTAAAGATTATAGTTGCCATCAGAACAAAGAAATCAATATACCTTATAGTTATAATATTAGATAATTTTGCAGCAGAGAAATTACTTACATACTTTGAAGGGGCAAAAGGAATATTCACTATCTAAATCAGCCAATATGGGAAAATGAATCATTTGGTTACAAATTACGTTGAATTTATTGACAGACATGTTTCATTGAAAGCCTCTGTAGAATGTCTTCCTGCTTGTTGTAGAGACATCAGCTAAGCAAGTAAATATAAGCTGAGAATTGAGGAAAAGTATTGTCTAGAGGAGGGTTTCTCAACCTTAGTACTATTGACATTTCTAGCTGGATATTCCTTTGTTATGGGAGGCTTCCCTGTGCACTGTAGGAAATTTAAAGCATCCTTAGGCTCTGCACCCTAGATGCCAGTAGCATCCCCCTCAACGCCTCCCCTAGTTATGACAACTAAATATGTCTCCAAAAGGGTCCAGGGGAGCAACATCACCCTGGTTGAGAACCAGTGGTTAGCAACAAAGACATGGCATCACAGGTCTGTAGGAGGCATTGGAGCCAGAGAGAAGGTTAAGCATATAAAGAATTGAAATGTAGTTAGAAAAATATCTACAGCGTATGCCTTTGGAGGGGTTGGCAGGGGATGGAGGCTACAGAAGTTTGATCAAAGAGGTAGGAGAGAAACCAAGCAAACATGCTCATTCTAAAAGTGAGAGAGTTTCATAAAAGAGACAAAATAACTTAAGGATAGAAAAATATTCATTTGATCTGAGAAATAAAAGATCATTATTGACTGAATGGAGCTGGTTTGGGGGATTGGTCACGGCAGAAATGCAAGGGCAATACAGGCAGAGAACCTCATATGAAGGAATTAGAAAGGGAAGTCGATGGATACTTGGAGAAGAAAGATTTTATTTATTTTTCTGTATTTATTTTTAGTGATAGGAGAGATAAGAATGTTACATGTTAAAAGAAAAGGAGCGTATAAAATAGGAGAAGCTGAAAATTTTGAATCTTGAGACTCATAGGAATGGCACTGACTTTATTGTTTTAAATCTTATTATATAAAATGACTGTAACCAGACAGAGAAGCGTGATGTCTGGGTTATGGTGCTGATTTTACTATGAACTGACAGCGTGACAGGTGTCCTTATTTAAGAGACTCCATTTTTGAAACCATGAAAAATGAAGCATTTAGAAAATGAACGAACATTAAGAAGTTAAGGTCAAAAGAAAATGTCAAATCTGTGAAAAAAGAAAGGACAGAGCCTAGAGACAGCAGGAATGGATGCTAAGGGCAAGGAGTAATATTAACCAAAACTCAATCAGCCCAATTACACCCAAATGCAGTATCCTCTTTATGGATTTTTTTTTTAAGGCATTTGGATCCTTTTTGATTTGAGAACTCTAGCCTATGCAATAACCACATCTTTTATTGGGAAGTTTAAATGAAATTTTTTAAAAAACGGATCTGCAAAGGGCTACTACTCTTCTGCAACAATAATCAAACTTAGACAACTTTCCTTCACTCTTGATTCATCATTCTTCCATCCTCAAATGTAATTTTTGAATATTTTATTTTCTGTAAGAAAAGGAAAGCGTAATTATTCCCCAAATTATGCTTGTTTGGGGAGTTCTGATAGCTATAGCTTTCAAAAATAATAGAGTGGCTAGTAGTGACATAACTCCTTTGACTCAGTTTCCTCCTCTTTATAATGAATAATTTTGGTAACATGGTTTCTAACATGGTTTCCTTTAGTGTTGAAAATTGAATTATTATCATTCATTTGTGGCCCAGAAACCCTAGAACTTTTCCTTTGATTTATAGTAAAATTTACTTGCTGAAGGAATGGTAAGGCCCTGTGTGTGTCTGTTTCTGTGTGTGTGTGTGTAATTAGGCATTTTAGTTGTCAGGCAATTTAAGTATGTTAACTCTTTAAACCATAAAATCATCATCTAGTGCCCTGAGGCAGCAGTTTACTAAATGGTATTCTAAGTAGCCTGGAAAATTTAATGGAGCCTCTGAAAAATGGCTAAAAGCTTTGGACTGGAAATTGTCCTTAAGTTGTCCAGCATAAAACCATGTTGGTGCAAAGATTTTAGCCATTAGCAATGTTTCTCATATAACGTATATGTAGCCACCAACATTTCGATGATTTATTCCCAACCAAATGTGCATTTGCTGACATGGAGGAGCAATCTTCAGGGGGAAATGGCTCTGTAATGTATGATTTGATATGTCTTTCAAATCAAGCTGCCATTAAAGAGCAAAGCATTTGTCTACATGAATCAATCAAATGAATGGCCACTTACTTTGAGGCAGGAGTTTTGTCAGCAAAAAAAAAAAAGAAGAAAGAAAAGAAAAAGAAAAACGACAAACAATAATATCAGAATATATGATAATATTGAAATACAGTATTTTATAAGTAGCCAAGCTTTTGCCTACTTATGTTTCATAGAAAATCTCAATGATGGGTCAAGAAATAAGA